ATTTTATGGTAAATTATCATATTTTCAGCATAATTAATTGACTGGCTACTCTGCGAATAATAAAAATTAGAAAAAAATTATTATAGACTTATCCTAGCCATACTCTTATCTTATTTTTTTGGGTTTTATTGCATCATATCCCGTATTCGTAATCAGTATCAATATTCTGACTCCTAGGAATTATGGATACAAATACGAGATATGAGTATGGTACGGTATGGATACGGAGATACGATAATTACAACTGGATACGTCAATAAATATATATTTTATATTTTTTCTATTATGTAATTACTTGATAGCTATAGTTTTTAGTGATTCTTTAACAATAATAAACATTAACAATTTTTTATTTTCAAAAAGTTACCTGTCGTTTCATTATGGTATAAATTTAAAGTCAAACGTGATTAATTAAAGTAATAAGAAACAACATTTAACTATATTGATTGATTAGAAGTATTTGTTGCTATATTGGTTGAAAAAATCCATGTGTCTTCTAAGTCATATGATTTTTTGCTGACATATTGCATTGTATGTGAAGTCAAAAGAAAAGGGAAAACATTAAAACTAAAAATTATATATACTTCTCAGCATATAGAAGTATTCATATATTTTATTTATTACTGGATATGTTTGGTGTGTATCCGTTACGTATTCTTGAATATCCGACGAGTATCATATCCGATATGATATCTGATACGGATACGTCAACCTTAATGAAGAATCTTTACTTCATAGTTTGTCTCTATGTACATGCTTCTTAGGTTGTGGTAGTTCATCAAATTGAGTTTTACAGATCTCTTTTTTTGTTTTGGTTTTTTCTTTTGTTTTTGTGTGGCTTTATAGATTTGCACGTCTCTGAAGAAGTTGGATGTTTATGGAGAATGAAGGCAATGGGTCCGATGGAACAAAGAAAGATGAAAAGTTATATGTATATAGCATTTCATATGAGTATCATATGAAATGTTTCTATCTCATATGGAACTCTAGAAAAATTCAGAATTATACCACCAAAAGGATTCGTATGGAATAAATTCGACATCTTTCACAAGTCTCGCAGAATGCTGCTGGTAATTCTGCTAATAATGGAGGTGTAGGGACCACTTTGCCTATGGCTAGATCAATATGTGTGCCACCACATCTCTGTTGTAGGCCACAAGTCTCTTATCCGTATTAGCTAATGCTTTGAACATTGTTGCACGAGCATACTCTATATCACTTCATTTAATTTTTTCACTGCATTGCATGACAAGATTTTAAAACAAGATATTAGTCACAAATATTCAAGTAGTGATTGCAAAAGGTGTCAAAAATCTGGCGGTATCACTTTTTCAAGTTGCAAAGGGGTTGTCCATCCAGCTGATAACTCCATAAATCTGTTGAATTTCTTTTTTCCAGTCTCAATGTTGACCTTCTTCACCATGGGCACCTTGTAGGATAATTCTCCTGTAGTAATAACGAGGTTCCTACCTACCCTTGACAGCATGGCTGCATTCGCTTATTTATTTTGATCCAAACACTTATTAAATGATTAGATTTTCTAGGATATGTATGGTGGTGTGTATTCTATAGACATCATCGATAAAGAGATTCATCTAGGGGCTGCCCTGACGATGGGAGATTTTTTTCTTTAATTTGTTGTTGAATTTGCATGTATTTACTGAATCTTTTGCCAAAAGGCTTGAATTTTCTGGCTTTTATGCCCATTTTGGAAAGAGAAAGGATTCCTCTATAGAAATCCAACCGAAATGAATATGCAGCAGCAGCATTCCCAACTTGGAGTCGTAATGTTGGACTTGGCCGAGTTAAAGCCGATGCAATGATACTTGTCCGCAACATCTCAGACAGAAACGACTAAAGAAAATATAAGAAGGAGAAGAAAAGAAAAGACCTAGGTCTAGGTGATGCAGAAACACACATAATCTGCAATTATGAGCCGTAAATCTTACTCCCTTTTGCACTTAAAAAAGCAGGAGAAATTGAATGAATTTCAACACTAATCTGTCAAAAACCCATCCCAAAACACCGAGACTACCCTTCTCTTCTTATTCTTCTTCTTCGGAACTCACAGATGTGAATCTGTGCTGTCACGCAGTACTGTAGCAACCCATCTTCGAGGCACCTAAGTCTGGGACTCTCATTGATCTCCTCTCAGGTACTCAACTCTCTCTCTCTCTCTCTCTCTCTCTCTCTCGTGTCAAAATCGAACAAGACTAACAGAGTTGAGGTCTCCATGGTCTGGTCTTTCGACCCTGTTAGTTTGCCAGTCCCTCTAGACTCCTAAATGAGCCAGTTGCATTTTTCTTGTTTTTTTTACCTGTTATGTCTGTGTCATTTTTTTTGTTTTTGCTAATTTCTTAAATCTCAACCTTCTTAAATTTCTTGGACTATTGACTGAGGTCACTTTTTTTTTCCTTCCATGTAATAAAAGATTTTATAAAATTTTATGTATAAGTTGTATTCAGTATTATCAGAACCGGACCTGTCATCGAACCGACAGGGAGACCGGATCAATATATTTATATATTCTATTGACAAAAGAAATTTATATATTCTATTGAGTTATTTAATATATTTCTGATGGTTCTTTTTTATTTCAATTTCCTATGTTTATTGTGTTAGATGCTGTATTTTGGACCTATGATGAAAGGATATTGTTGTTTACATTATTTTAGAATTTTTTATGATTTGTTTAGAATTTTTTGGACATCCTATCTAGCATATTTTATTCGTATCGGCCGATATTGTGCACGTCGCAATCAATGTGTATCAGTACTCTTCGAGTCGATTACTGATACTTCGACTTTGAACCATGTTTAGGTCCGTTCTTCACTATGCCGCGACCTTGAACCATGTTTTAGCACCCTTCTTCACTGGTTTTTTAGTTCAGAGAATATGATCATATCATTCATTGTACTAATTGATCTTATGCGATGTCTGACATGGAACCTGGGGGTGGCCGTGTGTAGAAGGTTTGAAAGTAGAATCTATTCCTGTAGGAGCTCAATTCTGGAAGACTTCTCATTATGATCACCAGTGAGGGCTCTGAGGGTCCTTGTGTCTTTGATGAAAGGCTGCTGATCAACTAGGCATTATGGCTTTGTTCATGTTGAGTTGAGCAATATCTCCTGCCACCCTAAGAAGGGGTGCAAGGTTCAAATCCCAGTTGAAAGATGAGAGTACATATTAGGTATGCTTGCGTATGAGACACAGAGAGAGAGAGAGAGAGTACTACTTCGTTCGTCACAAGATGGTAATGTGCTACACATAGTTTTGAAAATCGGCTGTTATTGTGCGTAACGGCCGTTACGTAACGGTAACGACAGATAGCGATCCCGTTACATCCTGATTTTGTGGCCAGAATATTTTTCACACTCGTAACATCCGATACGACTCCGTAACGGACCGTAATAGCTCCGTAATGCCCGTCACGGCCAATCCGGGTCAAATTGAACTGTTTTATTCCGTTACAACCCAAAGACTCATGTGAATTTAGATTATAGTACTGTCAGATTCCCTTTTCAAATTCAGTTGCTCAACTTCACGGACGACAACCGCAAGAGAAACACTGTCCTAGAAGGATTGTTATGCTTGAAGAGGACCACGAAATCGCCTTTGGAGAGGCCTTCGTTCTCTGATTTCATCCTAGAGGTAGCCATGCCGTTGTTGGATGTTTGGAGCCGAGTATTGGTATGAAGGTTTTCTAGAAGAGGGTTTAGGGAGAAGAAAAAATATAGGAATTTCATAAGATTTCATCTTGTCAAGAAGCCATTAGAGAGGAAGAGAGAGAGAGTTTAGGGAGAAGATGATTGAATAGGGGAAGGTACTGGTTGAAGTGGGCGAAGGAGACGAGGAGGTTCTTGGAAAATGGAAAGGTTTTGATCACTTCACAACTGTCCATCACTATTGCTTAGTAGCTAAGCATATCTTATTTGGCCAATGAATAAAATGAGTTATATTATACTGCTTGATTTTTTTTTTTGATCCAAATACTGCTTGATGATATGTTAAATTCTAATTTAGTGAGAGATAAATTTTTGTCACAATAAATTAAGAGAAAATGTGATGATATTTTTAAAAAGCTAGCATTATAGTTTATTTATTTATTTTTTTTTTTGGTGTAATGTAGTTAGAATTAATGTAATTGTAGTAACATTATCACTTAGTAAATATTATAATGTATGAGCGTTTTCACATATTAATGATTATAAATAAAAGAAAAATTCTTTGAAAAATTCAATATCATGTTTAAATGGTGTAACAAAATCACTAAAAACCTATATTTGCATCATTTTATAGCTGAAATACATAAACAATTATATTTTAAGGGGAGTGTGAATTGAAAAAAAAAATTCACGTCTTCGGTTTCTATTACTATTACGTAACATCCGTTTCACCCCGCGTCCGTTACACCGTTACCGTTACGATGACCGTTACCGTTATTCAGAACCATGGTGCTACAGTTCTTCCTTGCACTTTGCTAGTAGCCAATGTGATCATGCAAAATATGGACAGGCACCCCATTCAAGCAATCTAGCTCTTGACATTGTAAACCATAGAATTCGTCCTGCAGAAGGAAACAATAATGTTGTCTTGTTTCCTTCAAAACTTGACAAGAAAGGGAAAGAAAAAGTTCCATTTGCATTTTATACTATGTATTAGGGCAAGAAGGCTCGTGAAATCTGTAAACATTTGAAATCAAACAGAATGTAGGAAAGAAAGAACAGTTTAGTTAGATGGAAGTTTCTTATGTCCTGTTTTTCATTTTTTTCATGCTATTCTGTGATTTTATTTTGATGTATAATTAATCATATTTGTCATCTCCATCATCAAGGCTTCAGGCATTAACTTCAGTGTAGAATTGATTACTAATGATTAAGTGGATAAATGGACAGGAATAAGAATTTTAATGTGTCTGATTAAGTACAAGGGGAGCTTCAATGTGACCTTCATATACTCATCATCTTTAGTGGAGTAATGTTAATGTACGTTGTTGGTTGCAGTTATTAGTTATAGGATTATTCATCATGGGTGAACAACCACTGAGTTCAAGGTCACTCCCAAATCATGAAAACCATCCATCTGTGAGGCAAGCCAGGATGGACCGTGTTATGGATCGAATGAGGAAGGTGAGTTTTTGCAACTATGCTCGATTAATCGTTTTTCTAAAATTAGTTATGTTAGTTTGATTACTCTACATTGTATTATTTTCGAGTCCAATCAAATATTCCCATCTTGCTATGTTGACCTTTTTATTTGACTTTTTCCTTGATTGTTTGTTTAAAATTTTCATCTTGTGGTTGCTACAGATGATAAACTTTTTTTCAGAGGAGCAACGAAGAAATTTATTGTCTCATATGCCACTTTATATACCTGTTGAGGTAAATTGTTGAAGATATTAAGGCTAGTATGTGTTTAGCTGTCTCGTCATGTTTACATCTTCCCGTAACAAACAATGAAGATCGTAACATTCTGTCTTGTTATCAATACTAGATCCCATATCTGCTCACAGCTTAGTAATATAAAATGATGTAAATAGTTATAGTAGGTTAAATTAAGCACCACATGGATCTCCCCCTTCTCTCTCTGTCTCTCACATGCAAAGACTGCATAGCACCAGAATACCGTTCTGTTTTCGATAAGATTTAATACCTATCTCCTTCCCTTCGTTTGTTTTGTTTCTCTTATTTTTTATTTTTCTTTACTTACTTTGTTCCCGGGTTTATTTTTAGTATATTAATCATTCGAACCCACACAAAATTGGCAGGGAGAGTATTCAGGAACTGAGCTAATGTATTGTGCTGTGGATGGAGGGTTACTGAGAAAAACAATGTTGGAGCATCTTAAGATAGGAGTTGTGTCTAAAACTCGATCAGAATCGAAAGAGTTGGAAAGCATTGGTGAACAGCCTGAGACGTGTGTTATATGCTTGGTATGTTAATTCTTCACAGAATGTCTCTACATCGTCCGAGTACCTTTGTACATATCAAATAATACTCTCATGGCATTTTGATTGGCAGGCTGAATATGAGGACCTAGAGCAAATTGCCACCTTAGATTGTGGACATGAATATCATATGAAATGCATAGGGCAATGGCTACGCAAGGGCAAATGTTGTCCTCTGTGCAAAAAGGCTTATTAATTCCAAAAGATTGGGATCCTAGGCGATCGTGCAAAAGGTGTCGTGTGCCTTAAACTCATTTTGCAACAGACAGTGATATTCTTTTGATTTGGACCTCTTACATAGGTTAAATATATTTAGTTGATTATTTCACTCTCTTACTAGTAAGATTGGTAACTTATAGGTCTGATTTGATTGGAGGGAAAATGCTATTCTCTTTTAGGTTTTTTAAATGTTCTATTCTTGTTCATTAGGGTCAGTGTCTATGGAACAAAATGCTTATGCAATTATGCAATTACGTTTTTTTCCTTGTTATTTCAATGGATTAGTGGCGAGACTTTCTCATTAGGTGCTGTAAGACCAAACTTTATAACTCAAATTATTTTCTTTGCCATTTACTCCCCCATGATACATCTTCCTCCATTCCAAATGATCAGACCCGGTTTCATTATATATATATATATATATATTTGTCCTAAAGCCTAGTGGAAAGTATTTATTCAAAACACAACAAATCATACAGAGAATTACTCTAACCAAGACATTCTTACGGGTGCAATTATGAGTGTATAAGGACATTGTCATTGTGAATGGTTATTGAACGGCTAGAGAGTAAGATTGTATAATGAATTCGTTACCAAACTCATACAATGTCTCCTAATTGAAACCAGGGGCGGAGTTAGATTTTTTTTTTTAAGTGGCACATTAGCATGTTCAAATTCTTTTTTAATTGATTGTAGAATTTCATAAATTCATATTTATTGAAATTATATTTAATATTTAAAAGTTCAATAAACATTAAAAATTAAAAATCGATATGCTTAACACGGATAAAAAAAATTAATTAAAATTTTTTTATCAAGAATGAGACTTATTATTGTCACTTACAATTGATCTTGACATATTTTTATTATTTAAAAGAGTTATAAATCAATTATATCAACAATATTTTTTTATATATATAAAATTGTGATAACAATCTTTCATTTATGATTCTATAATTTACTACATAACAACATATATTTTTATTACAATAATGAAATAACTCTATAATATTTAAAAATTATAAAATAACTTCAATATTTTCAAAACATATTCAGATATGTCTGAAACGTGTTTAAAAATAAATAATAATATTAGCTAAACCTAATTTAAGATTTATTTGATGGAGACTTAATAGTTTGTGACCATTGGATAGATAGTGGAGTTTATTAAATATTGAGAATCACTATTAGACTTCAAATTTATATCGGCAGAAGACAATAATAGAGTGAGCACAATTAAATATATCAAAATTTTATTTCAAAAAATATATGTCTAATGTGAAAGAAAAAAAAAAGAGGGAGGGCATGTGCCCGCCCCTAGCCCAAGGTTGGCTCCGCCCCTAATTGAAACCGTAAACACCTCATGAAGATTGATGGAGAGAGCCCTAGAAAACGCAACAGTCCATGGTACTCGAGCTTGGCATGCGAAAGGGACACAATCCTTGGACCTTAGCATATGACATATGTTGGGTGAAGTAACACTGATTTCTAAGTAACCACTGCCTTACACCACGTGTCACTTGGTGGGATAGGAAACCAACTAATCCATCTGATAAACCACTGACATACCTCTGGTGCATAAAGGTATGACAACCACTGACATACCTCTGATGCAGAAAGGTATGACAATCAGTTAGCATGGAAACTCAATTCCCCTACCTGTCAATAATGATGATCTCTTAAGTCATATCCCCATTTAAGGTATCCTATAAATACCTTTCATAAATGATAAAAAAATGGTAAGTGAAAAACAGTAATAAAGTTAGACTGATCAAATTTTGGGATCAAATTTAAAATCCAAATGACATGACAGTTGACTTGAGCTTCTTTAATTGGTGTCATGTCATTTGGGTCCCAATAAAAACTTCAAATAATCAACTGCCATATCATTTGAGTTTCAAATTTGATCCCAAAATTTAGTCAACGTAGCATTACTCGAAAAACAGATACCAGAGAGAAAGCATTGGTCATAGAGTCATTAATCCTCTCCACACACTCCATCATCTTATATATGATCCAATCACTGACTTGGGCGTCGGTGGTGGTTCGACTAGTACCATATCGGTGTCTTTCTTCTTAGTTCCTTCCTTGACATGATCACCATCTTAGAGGATGCCAGAGAAAGTAAAGTCATCGTATTACCGACCTCTAGTAAGCATTTTGCCCTATTGAGCCTTCTTAGCTCCTTGCCCCAACGAGCCCCCGATTGAGACCAATGTATGACCTCCGTGTAGAAACTTATCCATCAGGTGGCATTGTCTATAGGAACGATACTAAGTTCCTATTTGTAATTCTTAATATCTATACTATTTGACATGGCCTCCGCCAAAGAATGCTCAGAATAACCAAGCCCTGCTAGGGCATGACTCCTTAGAAAACTAGGCCAATGGCCAAGGCATAGTTGCACAGATCAACTGCACTTGGAGCACAAGTTTATCAGATGGAAGAGGCCTTGCAGCTCCAGCAGTAGCATGCATCCATGTTGTAAGACCCTTCTCCTCCTAGACCAAGGAGCCAAATTAACCCAGTGCATAACAGAAACAACAGTGACCCTCCCATGGTTTGGAAAATCGATCGTTATTGTGGGTAACGGTCGTTACGTAACAGTAACGGAGGTCGACGATACTGTTACACCCCGATTTATCGGTCATAAAAAAATTCACACCCATAACGGGCGTTACACCGGTGTAACGGGGCGTAACGGGCGTTATAACCCGTTATGTAGCCGTAACGGCCGTTACACAACATCTATTCATTTTGCTACCAGAAAATAAGAAAATCAAGAAGAATATATGAAAGGAGAAGAGTAGAAATTAAGACAAAGGAGGTGTGTAGACCTGGTATCTCTTCAATGATCGAATTCTAAACTCTGCTACGTGGCTACATTGGGTGGAGTTTCCATGTTCACAAGGCTTAGTTTACAGGGGAGAAACAGAGCAGTGCTCTGTTTCTAGTAGAAGAACGACGAGGAATAAGGCTGGAGGTAAAAAGATTATATTAGGGTTTTTATCATGGTGAAAAGACTAAGCTACCCCTTCTTGTGAGAATAGGAGATTGACAAATTTTTTACATGGCCTAATAGAATAATAGATTTTTTGAAAAGGATTTTTGATAAAATCTCAATTGGGTATTGTTTTTAAATTCTCACAGAAATATTTAAGTGGATTCCCTACAATTAAAAGTCACTAGAAAACTCTTATCACGTAATTATTAAAAGATAAATTCATATAACATTGTTTATAATACAATAAAATGTATAACATATCACAAAAGGCCTATATTTACATAAGCTTAGAGTTAAAAATGCAAAATTTTATTTTTTTGAGAGAGTTGTGAACGAAAACAAAAAATTCACGCTTTCGATTTTTGTTACTGTTACGTAACGTCCGTTTCATTCCGCATCTGTTACCGTTACCGTTACCATTATTCAGAAATATGGACCCTCCCCTGCCGCATCGCAAGATGAATAAGTAGCAGACAACTCTTTAGACTGGGGTGACTAGCTCATAGATGTTAGAGCAAAACTTGGTGATCTCAGTCTAGTCCCTCCACCCTATGGGTAGAAATGGCCTTCACCAAGAAGTCATCGCTTGTCCTTTACCGATCAGGTTTAGAGTGTCGCAGATAGACAGATTCAAAAGTGGCAAAGACCCAGTCGACCACTTGCATAAGTTCAAGGACCCAATGACGATTCGTGATTTCCTTGTGATATCATATGCCGAGCTTCCCCAACCATTCTAACGGGAAATGCCTTGTTGTGGTTCAACAAGCTCAAACCAGGCATAACCTCCACTTTCTTGCAGCTCAACCAGTCTTTTGTGTCCCATTTTGCAGGAGGACAAAAACATCAAAAATAAGTTTGGAGCCAGGATTTTTATTTATTCCAAGCTAAGCTAAGCATTCAAACGATTTTTGGACCAATATGTTTGTTCTCCTCATTTGATCTTCCTTTTGAAATTCTTTCTTGTTCAGATATGAATTACGAAGCTCATAAATGGCAATGTTTAGTAAATATGAGCTGTTTGAATATCAACAGGAATTGTTTATAAAATATATATCATTCTTTACTACTGTGCGGCTATTGTTAAAGCTTGCAAATTTGAATGTTTATGAAACATTGTTGTTGTTCTGTCAATTTTATATCATTGGAAAACACGGTAATATCTGATTTACAAGAAACAATGGTCTGTTCTTCTTTTTACACTGAATTGAAAATTGATTTAGTTTGACTGCTCAAAGCTTGCAAATTCTCTTCTTGGGAAGAACTACATTCCAATTAGGACCTCCAAATTAGCATCGTCTCTGATACTAAATTCGAATGATTTATGACCCAAGTTCATCTTAAATTAATAACCTAAGTTCGGGTTCAACCTAGCATTTGATCGAACAGCTTGTGGGTATTTGAATAAAGAGCAAAACCAAACAAATAGAGGCAGGGAGACAGACATACGAAAATGAAGAGCAAAACTAAACAAAAAGGGGAGAGGACGTGGAGGTGATGAATCGTACCTATTGGGGCTGAGCGCGGGAGAGAGAGAGAGAGAGAGAGGATGATGTTTGTGTTGAAGTGGCAACCTGAGAGAGAAGAGACTGACATGATATTGGGGGAAGTGACTGGCCGCCTGAGAGAGAAGATACTACCAACATGTATTCGGCATGATTTTGGGAGAAGTGACTGAGAGAAAAGACCCGTCTGTCGACTGAGAGAGAGAAGAGACCGATTTAGGGGAATTTTCAGGTAGCCGTTGCTTTTGGTTGGGCTGGGTTGGGTTAGTTGGGAAATTGGGCTAATGAATTTTTTTTTTTAGTGGGCTGGTATGAAAGTGGTAAATTTTTTTTTTGTACTCTGGCCTTTAGCCCGCCTCAGCTAACTAATGGCTCCGTCCCTGATCAAAAGCCTGTAACCTACTTGCTCAACTGAAACAACAAAAGAGTGAGCCCCTCAGAAGTTATGTCACACACTTCATTAATGTGGTCCTACAAGTTGAGGACCTTGATGATAAGGTATCCCCCAATGTATTCACCCAGGGGTTAAGCGCCCTGACCCTTTTGTATTCATTATCCAAGTCTGCTCCGACGTTCATGGCGGACTTGCTAAAACAAGCTCAAAAATGATATGAACGTAGAAGAAATGATTAGTGCTCGACAAGAGTCCTTCTCGATGAGCCAACCAACAAAAAAAAGAACAACCGAGCCAAGTAAAGGAACCCCATAACCCGAGTTGAAGAAGAAGGCTATAGATCCTAATCATCTGATAATCGATCCCTAGTGTCGCATTCTGAGAAGTACACTCTATTGAACATCTCCCTGGAACAAATCTGCCTACATGTCAAGAATGAACAAATA